GGAGCCAGGATGTGATGTAATGGCAGGAAGAAGGTGTGTCTCTCTCTTGCTGGTTTCCGCTTGCTGCCATGAACTGTAGCCCAGCCATGAATGTAGCCCAGCCATGCCAGCCTGCCTTGGAGCCAACTGAGTGTGGACTGAAACCTCCAAAAACTGTAAGAAATAAACTTTTCCTTTCCCAACTCTGGGCTTGAGGTATTTTGTCTCAGCAACGAGTAAAAAGTGACTAAGACAATAAGTCACCGAGGGAGACAAGATGCGATCCTCAAAGCCCTGGACCAGTCCAGTCTAAGCAGCCCAGTGTGAGAGTCTGCACCATCAGAAGTGGTGTTTTGAAGCCCTGTGAGGGGACAGAGGTGGATGATGGCTTTGAGGAGTCTAAAGCAATGGTGCAGGCAGGAAAATTAAGAGGAAGGGGGTTTCAGTGGCTGAGGGTCCTACATGGAATCCCCTCTAAGGCTTCTTATTACATAGAAGGGAAATCAGACTTGCTGTCAATTACTCCTGGTTGGTGGACTATGCTCATTTAATGACTCCAAAGTGGAACCATTTTAATTAAACTTCAGGTCCACAGGGAAGATTTAACTGGAAGGAATGCACAAGTCTAGATTAGACCTAGCTCTAGATTTGGGCATGACTTTTCACCACATGAAGCCTCTGCTTCTCTATCTGTAAAGTGGGGATTCCCTCCAATTGTTCTTGCATACAACACACAATTTGTTGGGCTTTGGCAACATGTAAGGATCCATTCCAGGTACTGGGACCAAAGGGGACAGATGCCTCTTCTGACAAGGAATTTTTAGTCTAGTAAAAAAGTCAATAAACACATGAACAGAGAAACATGTGATGTATGACATGATGCTAAGAGCTCTGATACAAACATCAGAGAGCCGGAGGGAGAGGGAGGAGACAAGACACATAGGTGTAACGCATAAGTGGGCCAAGTAGAGTGTTCTGAGTAGGTGCAGAGCCTGCAGACACCAAGAGGGTGGCAGCAAGCAAGAGGAGAGCAGGGACAAGGGTCCTGAGGAGGGAGAGAGTGAGGGTGGAGTCTTTCAGGAATCCAGAGAGGCCAGTGGTTAAGGTGATACAGATAGAGCAGCCTTATGACTCTGGTAACAGCAAGGCCTCTACTCTGAATGAGAGGTCGTTCACGAGCTGTTTTTCAGGGTTCAAGTGCTAGGATGAGGCTCATATTACCTTTTTTTTTTTTGGTACTGAAGATGAAATTCACAAAGTCGTGCTTACCAGGCAAGTGCTTGAGCCACTGAGCTAAATCCCCAGACCTCAGGCTCATTAAAAAACAAAACAAAGCAGAAACTTATCATGGTTCCAGAGTGAGAAATAGACCACAGGATGGTGCAGGAAGGAGTGGGTGGATGGCGTACAGCACACAAGCCTTAGCCAAGAGGGAAATGACAGCCGTCGGAGGTCAGTGGGCCAGAGGAGGAAAAGTATCAGAGACAGTCCAGTTGCTGGTCTGAGCATCTGGGCAAAGGGAGGGATCCTTTATTGGGATAATTCCCAATCCCCATGAAGCTGCTTCAGTGACGAAATAAGAAAGTGGGGGGGGGGGCACGTGTGAGAGTAAAGGGTGACCGATGAGAAAGCACTTCTAAATCGGGGATTCTCAGATCTGCCGGACACTAATGTTCCAAGGTCAAAAGGCAGTGTTGATTTTTCTCTCTGACATCTCCAAGACAATAAAAAGATTCTGAATGGCTCACTGCTTATTCCAGAAACATCCATCCTTCCGCCCAGGAGGGCCTCACAGTGATTCTGATTTCCTTGCCACCTGGTCACGTGGACACAGTTTATCATTTTAGCCGGGCTTCTTAAAACATTTCTTTCTCCCTCCCTTCTCTAAGCTGTGACATTGCTCTGGTATTTTCTTTCTCCTTTTCCACTCAACGGGATTCAACAAAAGTATTTTAAATTTAAATTTAAAAAAAAGTCTATACACATTTTTATTTCCCCTGAATCACTCTTTTGTAGCTAAGGTTGTTCACCCCTGTATCAGGCCACTTCAGGTCTGATTGTTTAGGCATCTACTGTTCACTTTTTGCAGCTATTCTGGTATATTTCCTGACAAAGGTAATTTTATTTTTTCCTTTTTAAATTTATAGTAAGCACATTATTTCTCCCTATCCTGATGATGTCTGTTCCGGGTGGGCATTTATTTATTTATTTCTACATGATTGTGATTTATCGTAATTACATGCATGCTGGGGAGCTGGTCCACACGCACGCTGCATCTTGATCATTTTTTCCTTTCTGCTTCCGCCCCCTGCCGTCCACACCACCACCACATCCCCCAGAGGCTTTGTGAACAAGGCAAGGGAACTGCTGAATGACTATTTAGTGCTACAAAGCATTATGGAACTTGTCAGAAATGAGCTACACATTTCCTCATTTGTCTGTAGGGTCAAATTAGCTTAAAATAGGTTGATGATTTTACAAATGAATCAACAGAAGAAAATCCTGAATCTGGGCGGGTAGTGCGGTTTCCAACACAGTGCAGGAAGAGAATGTGGGAAAGGAATTTGGCCAGTGTGGAAGCCATGCCTGTGCTCAGTGGTTGCTGTAGAGAGTCAGCCAGTGAGTGTTGGGAGCACCTACCCTCCCGCCTCCTAGGGGCTCAGCACTGGGCTGAGCACTCCTTTTAAGGACTTTTCTTGAAACAGCAGTTTGAATAGCTTTTTTTTTTTTTAATCAAAATGACCTCTTCAATAAGAGAAATCATTTTCTTGCTTCTGTTTTACTTTTTTTTCTGTTGTTTTTTAGTTGGTTACACAGGTTAAAGAGTTTCATTTTGTCAGATTTGCACTATATATAACATATTTTGATTGTTTTACACAATTTACCTCCCCCTCCCCCGTCAGCTTCGCATTTGGGGCAGGGTTTAATGTATATATGTGATACATGTTGCTCATATTCTTGCTTATTCCTACCATTCTGTCTTCCATCTGCTATCTCCTTCTCATTTCCCTCTTTTCCTTCCTCCACCCTGCTCATTGTTGCCCAGAAAATATTCCCTGAGTATTTATGAGTTCAGGATCTTGCTAAAAATACAGGATCTTTCCTGGTACACCACAGGAACCTATCAGAAATCTTAACTCCTTTGTCTTGAACCTACATGTTTACCCTTGAGGGCAAAAGCATACGAGAGAAGAATGTTAATATTTTGGAGACATATGCCAGGGATACGATGGGGAGGTGGAAATGCTGGCTGCATTTCTTCCCTGAAATCTAAAAAGGACTTAGTGTGTTCTTAGGGTCCTGCTCACTCCCCAGCAGCCTGCTCACACCATAATCCCTTCTCAGGGCCTGGAGACAACTTTTCTCTCAGACAGCAGAATGCAAATTCCACAAGTCTATGCTGAACTTGGTTTCCATTGCACGGGTGGCTGCTGTGTCCTCTGGAACACTCTATATCTAAACCGCCCCAGTGTTCCGGTAGGCATGTCACTATCTTCCCTGAAACCTTGGGCCTGGATTGCTCCGTTGATCTCAGATGTACTCCTGGGAGGGGTTTGTTCTTTGCTGTCCAGCCGTGTGTCTACCGTGACCCTCCACTGGCGTGTCTACTTCTTGTCCTGGTCATGTCCAACAGGACTTCTCATGTTTAAACCAGCCCAGCTGTTGCTCAGGCCTTGATAATGATTTTTTAAATTCTTAGTTCTGTAGCCAGGCCTTGGTTTTCATGGTGGTGTTAATACTTCAAGCTCCTGCTATAGCACTTTCATCTGAAGAAGAAGTAAAGAGACCTTTCTGGTGACCAGCTCAGCAGAACTCTAGCTGGTTAGCAGAGGACACTGGCAGGACACTTGAAAAACAATCCATGTCCTGCAGCTGGTTAAGCAGTCCTCTATGCAGAGTTACATGGCTCACATTAAGGGCCACCTTCTCTGACACTGTGAGGTCCAAGTGATTTAGTTTAATAGGCCATGGATCAGCATTTATCCAATCATCAGTAAACATGTTCTGTACAGATCATGGCTTGATCTATAAAATAAACCCACACTTTGCTGATTCTTTTTGCCCTACTTGAAATTATTTAATTGAACATTCCTCTCAAACCTTAATATTATGAACATGATCACACATTTTCAGTGGGTTTTTTTTTGACATTTATTTAAATGATGGCCTAAACCTTAAAATGTCAAGCTGATTGCTTGAAGGTGGCTACAGCAACTGTTGATACCTCACGGAGTGGCTGTTGATGAAGGGTCAGAACAATCTGCAGGCCTTTGCCTAGGCATTGTGACTGTAAATGCATGGGAAGGCCATGCATATTTGCTGCAAGGTTTGAAGGTTTGAGTCTTACTGGAAATTCCTGGAGTGGGAAGGAAAGAGAGACAAAGACAGAGACAGAGACAGAGACAGAGAGAGAGAGAGAGAGAGAGAGAGAGAGAGACAGAGAGAGAGACAGAGACAGAGACAGAGAGAGACAGAGATAGAGACAGAGAGAGAGAAAGAGAGAGAGAGAGGAAGAAGAAGAAGAAGAAAGAAAGAGGAGGAGGAGGAGAAGAGGAGGAAGAAGAAGGAGAAGGAGAAAGAAAAGGAGGAGGAGAAGAGGAAGAAGAAGAAAAAAGGAAGAAAAAAAGATGGAGGAAGAGAGGAAAGAGGAGAAGGAGAAACAGGAGAGAAGAAGGAGAAGGAAAATAAGAGGAGAATGATGACATTATTCTCTATTGATAACAAAATGCAAAACTATAGTTGTTAAGCATTGAGGAAGCTTACAGCAATTGTGAAAATCAAATATTTTAATAATGTCTCACAAACCTTTCCTGCTTCCTTCCATATCATCCTGTGAAAGTCAGTTTTGTTTTCACTTTATTAATTTAATTTAACTTTTGCAGCATTGGGGACTGAAGACAAGGCTTGGCAAGAACTCTGCCACTGAGCCCCAGCCTCAGCCCCAGCCCCTGCTTTCATTTCCATCCTGAGAAATGAATGGAGCCATAATCCCAATGGTCATGCCAGGATGAAACACTTACCCAGAATGCTTCATGTTTTGAGGCTTATCCATTCGAACAGCAAGTTTGATTTTGAGATCCTGATCTGGGCAGTTTTTGGAAACTGTCATTTTGTGCCATTCGGATTGTTTGGGGCTATTTGGGGTGGGATGGAGAATAACCTGTAAGGAAAAAGGACAAACTTGATAGCCAGAACATAAGAGAGAGACAGAGAGAGAGAGAGAGACAGAGAGTAAGTATCATCGTAGACATGCTTTTGTAGTTAGAGACCTTGATGCTGAGACGTGGTAGGGCTTTATGAAAGGAAGCATCATTATTTCTGAGTCTGCTTTGACTAACGTTTAGAAGTACTGAGGAAACCTAGTACTGAGAACATTATTCTCTTCATCATCAAATAAGAAGATACACTAAAGAGAAATATTCTCACAGAGTAGAGAATAATTTTAATCTGCTATTTCCCCTCCATTCTTTATTATTTTGTTCACTATTTCAAATGGAAAAATTTCTCAAAGCCTGCAGAAAAGGAAAGCAGAGAAACTGAGCCTTGGGGTCACTACTAAGTATGCAGGCCGTGTATGTCTAGGGTGGCATCTCATGATGGCAGAGCAAATGTGCAGAGAGGGAAATGTCTTGGCTAAGGTCACAAGGCCTTCAGATGGATTGCACCTCCAACCAGGATTAATTAAATCTGATGAAAAGTCCTACAAAGTGAACCACATCACCCCACTCTATAGCTGGAGCTATACAAACCCAGGTGTGACCGAATGTGGAGATAAGTGCATAGGAGGTAATAAGGTTAAATGAGCCCATGAGGATGGGGCTGCTGCTGATTGCACTGGTGATCTTACAACAAGAGAAGACCCCTTCTCTTTTCCCCTGTCTGAGGATATAGGGATCCTGAGACAGAAGCAGAACCTTGAGGACTCTTGACTTCAGACTTTCCAGATTTCTGAAACATGGGAATTACGTTTCTATTGTTCAACTCACCCAGCCTTTGGTCCTTTGCTGGGGCTGCCATGGAGTAGTAACATGGGTTTATGAACAGGCAAAACCACCACAAGTTTGTCACACTTGGGGTGTAAGGTGGTGAGTGAGAGTGTGCATTTTGATCCTGAGGAGCTCTTCTAGTTCAGTCTGTAGTGATGGAGGGCAGGAACAGAGGGTGACAGTGTGGGAAGGAGGGAGGCATAGAAGAAAGGGCTCCCTAGTGAAGCAGCAGTCACTTATGCCCTTAGGAGAGTTGGGAGGCAGGGGAGTTCACCAGGAAGAGCACCACCCCCCACAGTGGGAAAGAATCTGATTTGCTGGAGTGACTGCAAACTGGTCAACCAAGCAGCAGCTGGCTGCAGCAAGTGAGGCTCCAGGGCTGGGTGAGAGTTGGAGCACAGGAGCCTTGCTAGGTGCTGCTGAGACTGCAGCCTGTGTCACAGACAGTGTTGGGTCACAAAAGTAAATTAAGCCAACAAGTGCCAAACTCAAGGTCTGAAAATATCACGGTTTTTTAGTGCAGAGCCAAAAGCTGAGATACAAGGAGAAATATTTCTGTTATCTCACTGTTCTTAGAGAGGTTGATATCGCCACTGGAGGGTGTTCGGGGGTTCTCAAGAACACCTGGATGGACAAGAGTAGTTGACAGTGGTCTCGCTGGTGTCCCATAGGTGTACCAGGAATGTGCAGTGCCCCAATGAGGCCTCCTCAGGAGGAAATGTCCTACATCCCACATCACTTTTGAATATTCCTACAATTACTAATAGAGGTAGGAAGGCTTCTCTCCTGTGAATGCAGTCTAGATCCTAACTGTGATATATCAAAGTACTTTGCCACGTTGCACAGGAAACCCAGGAAACCCAGAGTTGCCTGTCTCTTCAGTAAATCAGTTTATGGGTGCTCTGGCCTGGGAGTCTTTGACACTGTGCCCTCCACAATGGATGCTGAAACTGTCACCTTCAAAATGGTTCACACACAGGGGAAGGTAGAGCACTGCTTCTTGAGATCTTTGATATTCAAGTTCTGAAGTTTTCTTATTACAAAAATTTGGGATTTTTTTAGGAGGAGTTTCTTTTTAAAATTCTATTGTATTTATTTTAACATTGTTAGGTAGTTAAATTACCTAAGAGTTTCACCTCAAGATAGTCAAGGCTGTTGCAGATCTTTGCTATAAAAGGCCTTTGGATTTGATGGTACTGAGAATCCAAGGTCTGTTTTCTTTAATGCACACTCTTGTTAGCTCAAGTTGATAGAAAAGAACTTGAGGTTCAGAGAGATAAAGGAGTTTTCCAAGGTCACACAGAAAATGGAGATAGAAGCCTTGGATTTAAACTCAAAGATGAGCCTGTTAGCACCTGATGATGTGGCCTTGAGGTGACTTGTGTGCTGGATGTATGCCTGGGAGATCTTCTCTAAGCCCTTGTGATAACTCTGACAGAGGGGAGCACTTACCCGCCCCAGCTCCTTGTCCTCCAAGGCCAGGACACCTGTACTTTCTGTGAATAGCTTCACCTTCACAGCAGGAAGTGCATGGGTAGTGGAGAAGTCACCCTGGGTGCCCCATCTGTGAACAGAATCAGAGGGGTTAGTGTGGCCCTGTCATCCTCCATTGCAAACTGTCCCTTCCCTCCCAGCTTGAGTGATTCAGGTCTAATCTGAGCATCAATAGCTGTTACATCCTCCTCTTAGTTTTCCAAAGCTGCCAAAGTGACAAAAAATGTGAACTAACTTGTTAGGCAAAGGCAAGACAGGTTCTCAGGAAGTTGTCACAAGTCTTCACAGAGCACTAGAAGGAATCTCTCAGAAGTAACATCAGGGCAACAACTTCATTTCATTTCCTCTTTTGAGTCTCTAGTTCTTAAAAAACTGCAGTTCTAGATTTTGAGATGAGGCTTCATTTGATGTGAGCCAACACTTGACTTTATAATGAGACTTTAGCAGTAGAAGTGGGGAGGTGGGGGACCCCACTTCCACAGCACCCAGAGAGGAAGTGGAAAGAGAAATGTGCCAAGCACCACCCCACCAGAGTCAAAGATGGACTGAAATCTGGTTTGCTCAATGTCAGGGTAGCTTGTGGGGCTTGGCTCCCTGGTGCACCCCTTGGATGTAGCCTGTTATTTACCTGTCACTGTTCTTGCAGAGGATTCAGCTCCATCAACTCTGCACTGCAGTCAGAGTGAATTTCAGGAAGTGTTAATGGGGGAGCTCTGAGCCTCCAAGCCCTGCTGGTGCCTGTGTGTGGTGATCAAGGTGGGCACAGTGTGGCCCTTGTGATGGGTCCCCCTCATCTCTTTCTGTTCCATGGGCCTCCTGATTCTGCTGCCTCAAGCCTGCTGCAAGCATGGTTCCCTTTGTTGGCAGTGTTTGTCCTACCTGACCCTTCACTAGGGCACTTCCTTGAGGCCCAGCTTAAATGCCACCTTTTCTGAGAACATGTCCTTTAATCTCCCAGTCTAAATTGGGTTCCAGTATTAACCTCTCTTTAGAATACTGTCTCATTTTGCATCCCAGCAATGAGGATTTTAATAACTGATTTATTTGTCTAACTGCTTAATGGTAGAGTTCCCTAATACTCTGTAAGCTCTGAGTTAGGGGTTATGTGTTTTGTTTACATTGTGTACCCAGGACTTAGCACACTGCTTTGAAACCTAGAAGACAAAATGTACATATTTGTTGAATAAACAAATGGTGCTGAATATATGCTCTTCTACAGAGCCAGAATACAGTTTGGATACACTTGTACTTTTCTCATTTTGCCTTATATGATCAATTTCTATCCTGTAAAACACTTGTTAAAACTGGATTTTAAAGCGAGGTAATGTTACATCTTATAGGTTCATTATTACTTATTTAACCAGTGGTATATTATGAAATGGCGTTGGGCATTCATTCTTTTATTTTACCTCTGACATTTCCTTGGGAAAGAGCCCTAAGTGGAAGACCTTTCATTCATCAGCAAATATTTAGAGCTCTTCTTACACAGTTTTGGGACGTGTGCTCACCAATGAACACTAACCAGGCTTGAGATACTTGTAGAGAGTGACTGCCCTCTAACATTTGAGACTGAGAATGCAAAGTGAGAGTTTCCTTTCTTGCCTGCACTCGGAAACATTATTCAGCTATTCCCCTGCCCAATTTTGTCATTGTTGCTTTTGTATGTCTCTGATTACCAGTGGGCTTGACATTTTTATCCAGTACTTGTTGGCTGCTTGTATTTTTTTCTTTTGTGACTATTACAGAAACTTGACTTCTAGTCTCACTGTTGCACTCAATCAAGTGAATTCCATTAAGTAAACTAAAAGACGCAGGGAGAGTTGGAGAACTCCAGAACAAGAGAGATGAAGGGAGCCAGACCAATGGGCATCTAAATGCATGGAAACCACCAAAAGAGTCTCCAGCAGTAACAACAGCTACAAGGGGTGGACACAGAGCAGACAGGTTTCAACATAGCCACAAAATGTTAAGAGGTGTAGGTAGAAACTCCTGACTGAGCTTGGAAATAACTGCAGCATCCCCTTAAGATAGGGAACTCTAGTCTAGCAAGGGTGATACGACAGGTTTCAGAAGAAAAATCTATAGCTGAAATCCTGGCTTAGTCACATACAAACATACAGCTATGAAATAAATTCATTTCAAAGAATTAGCTGGAGAAAAATAGCTATGGGGTTTAGAATGTGAAAAGAACCCAGCATATTGTGGCTGCCTTCCCTTCCAAAACTAAGGGCATGTGTTCTAGTAATGGTTAAAATCATTTAGATTTGTGTCATCTACCTAACACACACACACACACACACACACACACACACACACACACACACTTACATACTGGTATTGAGAATAGAACTCAGAGCCTTCACACTGAGCTACATCCCAGCCTTTATTTTATTTTATTTTATTTTGAGACAGTCTTAATAACTTGCTAAGTTGCTAGTTGCTCTAATCTGGGTTTAATGTTACAGTCTTTCTGCCTCTGCCTCCCAGAGCCAACACATATTTATCAAGCCCCTCCCAAGTGTCTGATTGCATGCAAGGGACAAAAGGTGGGCATTGGCATCTCCACTATACATAGCAAATAATAAAAGTTATTATTTTATAATAATATTTATACTATGCGTGTCAGTTCACAGATGACAAAACTAAGGAGAAACTGAAGATCTTCTCCATTTTATTCTAGTGAATTGTGACCAAATTGCTGCTATTGTTATAATTATCAGTAATAAGCATTATTAGTAATCAGCAACATTGGCAAAGTGACCATTAATTTATTTATAATTAGCTGTGCTATTAATCTCTTAGAGTATTCATCATGCATAGCCAAAGGATGAGGAAAATTTCTGCTGGAAACCGAGTTCTTGAGCTCACAATGCTGCAGAGAGGAGGTGAGTCCTGGGGTACTGATCTTGGGCTCGTTTGCAGGGGTTTTCTGGCCTGCTCCTCAGACACTAACTCAGTTTATCTACACCATCTCTGCTCCCCAAGGATGTTCTGCACATAACACATGTGACCAGTGGTGCTTGAGACCCTGGAAGCTGGACATGATTCAAACCATGAAGGTTGCCTTGACGACACACTGCAAGTAAGTATCATGTCGCTTTCTCTACCAGGTCCATGTACAACTGTGCTTTGGGCTTCCTACCATGAATCTTAGCTCACCTCAACTTTTTACTACTATTGAATCCCAGTTTATTCACCAAACTTCAAAATGTAACAGGGCCCCAGTGGAGCACACTCCAGTTTAACCTCAGCTTCAGAGCTCAGTGCAAACTCAAAGCACAAGTACTCTTTACACTGAATCAAGAGAAAATGTGCCTTTGAAGATCCTAAAATAGAAAGTTTTCTCTTTTTCCTGCTTCCTCTGTTCAAATGCATGCTCTGTTGTTTCACAGGATTTCTTTCACAAACTCACCTTCAAGGATAAAACCAGTAAGAACTGCCAGATGGTGATCTTTGAGAATAAAGCCCAAATGGCTTCTGTAAAAATGAAGGCAGTGCAGCTGGTGGTCACAAGCCCACAGAGCTCCACAGCTCTGGAGTAAAGGCCACCCGGTGTTAGCCTGGCCTGAGGAGGGCCGCGCAGTGGGTGTTGGCAGCCACCGGCTGTGCACTGAAACTTCTGTCCCTCACTAGTTCAGGGTTCTGGGAAAGCCACTGTTGGCTCTTTTCAGTTGGTTCCAGTTGTTATGGGAATCCCCAAGGTTTAACATTCAGCGCCTTTTCCTGCTTCTTTCCTCTCTGGAGGAGAAACACCACGGAAAATGTCTACTCTTTGTCTCCTCCTAGTCGTAAGGGGCACCAGCCTTTCTTTATAATAAAAGCAGCTGGTGTTTATTCAGATTCCTCTGTGCTAGACCCAAATACCCATCTCAAAAGCTTATGTAGTCATAGATGCACTTTATTCTTTTAAAAGCTCTTAGTCCTTCTGTGAAACACCTATAGTTTATCTACAGTTACAGATGAGGAACTGTTACTTCATCTCCCAAGTTAAAACAGGAAGTAAATGGAGTGTGAGCTCTTTACCACACCACTACATTGCCTCCTGTATATTCATTCCATCAACTCGCTTCTCTGTCTTTGTCCAGGGAACAAAACAGTCTCTGTAACTCAAAGGGGAGGTTCTGTTTCAAGATTGAGCAGGCTTTGGGTCACTTTTGACTTCTAACTTTAGATTTATTTCACATGTGTAGTACCTTTACAGAGCGTATACTGCATAGACAAATTAATCAGTGGAGAAAGCCACATATTGATAAAACACTTTGTTTCTTATTGTTGTATCATTCTGTTCTTTTTCCTTGTTGTGCAATTGACTGTGACTGTTAAGAAGAATACATCTTCCTTAAAGGTTCCCCAAAACTGAAATACAATTGCACCATGTTTAGAAAGGATAGGAGTTTTATTGCAATATTTATTGCAAGCCAAAGTTGGAAAGGTTAAACTAATTTCTCTTTGAACTGAAGGTAGTCACAGTAATGGGGTAGGAGTCTTTCTTCTGTGATCTCTTCATATCTGTCACTGTACTCACACTGTGTGGGTCACTTAGAAAAATGTTAAAAATAACTACCAATTATTGAGTACTTATGGTTTGTCAGCCCTGGGGTTAGGGCTTTTCATGGATTATCTCATTTAATCCTCTAAAAGCTCCATGAAGCACATCCTGCTTTATTCTCACTTTATAAATGGAGAACCTTGGGGTTTTGAAAGGCTAAGTAACCTTGGGGCGGGGGCTTCAGGACATCACAGAGCTGGGCTTCAAGCCTAGCCCAACCTTAGCCCATAAAGCCCAGGATTTTACTACCTCTCGGTCCCTCTTATACAGCATTATTGACACTGACAATTATCTGAGTGTGTGCCTTTCTTTCTCTCCAGACACTGAACACCTTGGGGCAGGGAATTTTTTTTTTAAATATACCCTTTTGTATCCATCCCAGAGCCTGGCTCTCAATATATTTGTCTGGTAACTAAGGAGGAGTGACAAATTCCAAATAACCATGTCACTGAATTCAGAAAACTGTGATGGATGAGACATAAAATGTAACCAAGAGTGTGACTGCTCCTCCCGCAGAGGAC